GCTTATTTTCAGAAAATATAAACTCCATTCCGTATTTAGATTGTGCATATGAACCAACCATTCTCGGAACTCCCACACCCACAAACACCACGCAATGAATTTGGTTGAAATGTTTCAATTAGTTCATATGCCCTTCGTTTATATTGCGTATTAATAATTTCGATTTATAGCATCCAGACAATGAAATTAGGGCAATCAAAAACAAATGTACTTTGAGAACAAAACTCTCGCTTCCATTGTTGTCATTTTTCGTTTGGCATACGACGTGATATCTCTCGAATGAATTATGATTGGATAAAAATAATGGAAATGACAACATTAAAGGGAAAGGTTTCTTTTTTGTTCATATCATAGACTCCGACTGCGGTTCGAACTTTAAAATCATCTTTTATTTTTGATGATGCGTGCGTTAAAGCGAATGAATCTAATCAATAGGCAATTGTTCTCAATTTGTGATGCTTTAAAAAACGCCTACCAGTATGCTTTTGTCTCGCATCAATGTGTATCAGTGTTCGGGGAGCAACTCATTTTCACCATGGCAACTTTTCAGCCGCTATTGTTCAACGTTCATATAGTATTGTCGTGACGATTTGATAGGAAAATAATTCAAGAGAAAGGAAACGTCTAAATGGCAATTTCTCAATTGAAATGTTCGATTTTTGGTGGTACTGTTCAAGCGATCTCTTTAGCTATATGCCAAAATGGATGTCAGTCTTTTTTTTGGTCCCCCTTTCCCAATGATTGAATGAAAAAAGAAGAAAAAAGCAAAAATTGTAACGATTTATAATAAATAGTACATAGCATTCGTCATATCCATTGCTTAAATATCAAAGTTGGACACCTTTTCGAAGCTTATATTTCATTTTCTTCGAATGGAAACAGAAAATGAGATAAATATTTCTTTCGATTTCAATCGAAATGGATGAGTGATCGAATGAGTTAAATGTTGAAAGCGAATTAATGTCAAGAATAAGACTCAATTAGATTTCTTCGTATTTGAGTTCGTCTCTTTGAATTGGTTATTTCTGGGAATTTTGTATCATTACCTAATATCCAAACTAAATGACATCGTTTGTGTTGATTCAGCTGATATTATATAAACCAGTTATGTTGATGATTAAATGAAAATGCCAATGAAATAAGTAATTCAATGAACAACGTCAGGAAAAAATGTAATTAACACATTTGTTGACATGTATTAATCAGATTAGGCCACTTTTCAGCATTCGTTGTGTACACATCTAATTGAAATTCAAAGAGTGAAACGGGCACGAGTCAACCATTTCCGTCGTTCATGTCCGAATAATAAACTAATAGTGCCAGGTTATGTGGTCAAAATCATCAATTCGTTTATATTATACATTCCGCATGCATTTGAAATGCGATTGCTTTCACGATATACTGATTGGGTCGTCATGGTATTTATTTTCAATGGGTTTCGGTTAATTGACACTATTTGAATGTCTACAAAAGAGTTTGTTTTGATGGACATTGCGCACCTTGCCGTCATTATTTTACTTATTACAAATCATGATTCGTCCAATTTGATGTGAGTTTTCTGACATTTCGAGTTATTATTTTGGCGTGGAAAATCGTAACGCCAATTAACTCGCATTTAGCAAATTATAAGATAAACGTTCGTTGCACTCATCGATGTCAAATTGATATAGGCTTGATTTCATTCAATTGCAAAGTCAAAACAATATCTCATTACGCTATTATCGGCATTTCTCTTGGAATTTTTCTATGTTTCGTCGGGCTTCTACCTCTCGCGTCATTATTGATCTTCACATCAACCGTACATTTTGGCTGATGTCAAAATTTCGACTGAAAAGAATTTGACTTCATGGAGAAAAGTTTAATTTTTTTTCAATTCACCTAATGGACTATTCGACTTGTGAATGGCAAGCATGTCAAAAGTTTTGCAAGGTTTTTTTTAACGAAACTTTCATCTTAACAAAAAAAAATTAGTTTTGCTCCAAGTCGAAATCATTGTTGAGTTAATTTGAATAAGTGCTTTCGGAAAGGAGGAAAAAAAGGAAAAATGTACACATCGTTCAAGAGCCTTGATGTATGTGTGGAACAATTAGGACGGCATCGGATTGCTTACAAAATTAGACTGACCGAACAATTTCAGACTCTTCAATGTCATACACGTTGCTTTGTCGGTAACAAAGTGCCAACATCATTTGAGAGTTAGGAAAGTCTTCCGTCTCAATAACCCAGAAAACGAGAGTTTCACTTAAAATAAGCCACCAATCGAGACAATTTAGAACAAAGACAATTTTTTTCAATCATATTTCATACATATTTAGATACATATTCAGTTCATTCTTCCGGCGGCTTTCTATGCGGCTTCCATTTTAAAGGAAATTGAATTTGTTTGTCTCTTTCTTGAGACAATCTGACGTAAGTAAAATCAAGTAAACAGAAAAAGAAAATGAAAGAAGTGATTTGCATTGAATAAGTGACCATTTTCCATGAATGCTGGATGCATACACTTTAAATAAGAACGGATTAGCTTGACGAATGCCTACAGCCATTTTCATCACGTAAATGTTAAATCACAGGAAAATTGAAGTTTTTTTTGTATTTTTACCGTGAAAAAAGATTGAAATGTGTAGGTTGTAATAAAAAAAACAGATTACACGGAATACTTTGCGACGCAATAAGGCTTTGGGTTACGTTGGAATTGCATCTCATTCGCATCCATAAATATTGTTTTATTTCTTATTTTATTCTACCGAAAAATGGCCTCAATGCATGTACATAAGGTCTTACACTAAGCAAGAAACTATTTGGAGATAATTTCAGAAAGACACTTAACTTGACCCTTTTCTTTAGGAAAACATTCAAAATTCAAACCCAAGTCAAACTCACACCAGATTTTTGATACTGTCAGTGATATTTATGCGACTACTTTGCACCGTTTTTGTTTCTTTTGAATAGAAAGTTCTTCCATTAAGTTTCTTTCTCATTTTCAAATAGTTTAAATTGAAGAAACGAGTAATTATTTTCGGAAAAAAATCTGAAACTAGAAAAAAAAACTCCATTAATTTAATTTGATTTCAAGTGGATGAGTGGACTATAGTCTATAGTGTATGTATACATACAGGCGTATTTATATAATACACTGTTTCGTTTTGAATTACTTGAAAAAGTAAACATTTCTTGGAAATTCGATGCGCAAATGAGAAAAATTTCCATTCCATTTCTTCTATTTGAAATGGGTTTCCATTTCATTTTCATGAAACGTAGATCCAGTTTGAATTCCATTTATCGCACAGTCATATCACTGGAATGTGTCCCATCGTAAAGATATCTAACTCGTTGGGGTTTATTTAAGTTTTGTCTGCGCAAAGCACACTCGAAGAATGTGAAATGGCAACGAAAATTAGCACACAGTCTCGGTGTTATTTGCTCATTTCATTTGTTTGTTGTATTATTCGTTGTGCGATTGCTATAACCAAGTGGCACCCGCTCATTTGAAATCCCATTTTATGAATACCTTAATAAACTTCACCGACAGCATTGTTTAAAATAATTTTTGTGTTTGTGTCGGTGGGTTCAGTTTTCATTTTCGGTTCAAAATAAGTAGGTATATATAAAGTGCCGGAAGATTGTAGCATTTGTAAGTTTTTGTTGAAAATTAATGTTTCAATGTGCATGCAAATAATGTGAAAATAAACTTTTCATGTCTCACCATTTTTTCTTTGCCTCGAAGATTGCAACCAAACAAAGGAAAACTTTAATTTTAATTACGTTCACTTCCATCTAAAGATGGGATTTTAAATGAGATATGAACAACGCGCGGTGCCGCGAGTAAACTGTATTTTGCGCATAAGTCAGGTGATTCAGTGGCCAAAGAACATGCATCATCAGGAGCGTGCGTATCGATTTTTTGTCTGTTCTTCGCTGTTGACGCGTTTATTCGCTCTTTATTACCAACGGACCGAATTGTTCTTAATACCATCATCTAATTAAAATGGTGCGAATGAAATTTAGGTGCGGTTAATGATGATAATTTTCCAGCAATTTTACCATATTACGCGGCACAAACAACAAAGTTTAAATCAATTCAAGCGTTCGTGCTTTGCAGCAGGGAGGATTTTTTTATGTATGTGCGTGTGCAAAATAATGGCGCCGCTTATAAATAATCCTGTTTGTGCGAATGACGAAAGAAAGAGAGTGCTAGAGAGATGGTAAAAATAGCACACTTAATTTATACTCCGGGGGTCATCAGTTGGTGCTATGGTTGCATCTATAATAGTTTCTTGCAAGTGAAAACACGGTGTTTTTATTCATACTGTGGTAATTATAAACATACAACAAAATCGAGTCTATTATCACGGCTTTTCAATGTCGAGAGAGATCGTGTGAGCTTTTGTTGCTTTTCAAGTGATGGCTCGCAAACGATGGAATTGTTTCCCCCATTCGTATCATGTTACATACGATGTGATTCGTGCGGAGAAACCATATGAGCCTGTCCCGGTGAACAAACAAACAGGCAACCAGTTCAAAACACGCATCAAGTGAATGAACACCGAGTGCGTTGTATTATAAATGACGGCAATGAACGATGAATGCGAAAAATAAACGCATATATGACACAAATTTAACCATTTGATATTTTTCACCGTTTTAAATATCTAACACGAAAATGTATTGACGTCGTTTTCGCATATATATTTTCGGTGGATATTTTATTGAACCGAGTGCGAAAATCAGTCGGTTTCAACGCATTCCCTTATTGCTTCAGTCAATCATTAAACATATGAACGTGTGCATAGCAATTACCTGCGGTTTTGAAAAGGATTTAGCGAACATTTACGTTCTAATCCCATTTATTAATATACTGCTGAAACGAGCACGCGCAATGAAATGATAATGAAGCTGAGAGTCGTATATAAATTACTTGCCAAAGTCGATTATGACATCAAAGTCTGACACTGATTACACCAAAAGGATTAAAATAAATGAGACTGTTAACGCGTTGGTTGTTTTTTTTTGGTTAAACTGTGAAAGTTTAATTTTATCAAAATTTTAATCGTCTGTGAGCTTCATATAGACAAAAGAAATTAGAATAAATAGACAGATGGAGAACTAATTCAGATGAATCTCGGGTGAGATATCATTTTTTTTCAGCGTCTTTCGCGAGCGTGGTGGAGATTTTTCTTTGCGGCCGATAGAAATTACCACGAATAGCTGGCACCTGGGCTAACAACTGATGCGGTGAATGCTGGAGCAACCGTTCTGCAAAGTGGAAAAACACCAAAAACTTTATTCATCAAACACCAATGGCCAAGGCTAAAAGAACTAGTTATTATGTGGAAGTTATTCCACGAAATTTATTTTATTTCTGCAAATTTAATATCCTTTTTCGTCTAATTTGTGTTGAAGTCTCATGTGATTTCCGTGAACTGCTAGCTTTTTAACGAACACACACGTACAATTCATTATTGCAAAATTCATTCAATTAGTTTAAAATGTTTCATGTTGATTTAAAGCGATAGTTTCCCTGTTCCCCCCTCCCGTATTCGTATGCGCTGCGAGCAACTATAAATTGCACATTTCGTTGCATCCGTTTTATTTGCGATTCATTTTGAATTTATGGCGCAATTGTCGGGCAAGATTGTGAATGGAAGGAAGTCTTTGCCATATTAAAAAACGTGTTAACGAGATACAAATTAAAACGATTTTGAGCACAAAAAAAATCGAGCGAATTTTCATTTCATTTGTATCCGCAATTCTGATTAATTAGTTGCACATGGAGAGTGTTACATGTTCGGGAAACGATAACAAATTGCTATGGATTTATTTTTTTCGAGTTTACCATGACTCAAACCTCGTAATCCCTTCAAGACTTTTCAACCGAGTTGGCAACATTTAAATCGGTGAATTTGTTACAATGAAATCATTCCCATGGAAGAGGAAATTACAACATTTCAATGAAAGTCATATGTTGCAGTTCACACCATGTGTTGACACATTATACTGGGCGTTTGTTCGCTTTTTCGTTTAATGCATTTGGTTTGAAACGTTTGAAATGTACATTTTCAATAATTGCTCGAGCGAAGCACGTACAATTGTTTTACTGGTTTTTTTTCCCTAAATAACACGATGGTTTTATGTTCAATCGAACGATTTTAGGGGGCGTTAAAAATGTCGCTACCCCATTGTGCACAAACAGGTGATAAATCTGAGGAATTACACAACTGGAGTGGTTTTTATTTTCATCTCGGATTGTAAAACGGCGGCAAAGGCACGTACTTGGGAACTTTTCCAAGAAGGAAGACGAATTGATGCACGTTTTCGTTGTTTACTATGTTGATTAAAGCTTTTGGTTTTATATGTTATATAAACGGATTTAATGGACGATTGTTAATTTCCTTATTTGAAACTTACTTAACGACGGGCGCATGTCCGAGTCCTAAAAAGCAAAAGAAACAAAAAAATTCAAACTAAATTAAAATAAATATCGAAAAAGCAAAACTTGAAATCAAAATGAACGAACGAATAAAAAGATTAGTTTGTGATTGGATGTGCCGGTTCGGTAAGTAGAAAATCGATTTAATTAAATTGCATTCAAAATCGAGCGCATTTTCAACATTGAGATAAAGATAAAGTAATGAAATTGCAATTGGACGTATGCCAAATTGAAGTTGCAGCTAGCGAATGCTGGTGCCAATAAATTACGCTTACTTAAGCGATTTTAGCGACAAATTAGGTTTTTTTTTTCGTGTTAAAGCTCATTAAATCAACTGAAACCGCAGTCCATAAATGCATAAGTGGTAAAATTTGGTCAGTACTAAATCATTTCATGCGCGCGGCTCCCTGAAAACTACTCGCATTTTTTTTTCTACATCTTCTAATTAATGACACAAAGAGGAGCTAGCTTTTTTTTCACAGCCATAAAAACGGAATGAGCAGATAGCTGATGAGAGAGATAGCTGTATGACATTGTGATCTTCCACTTTGCACTGCATAAGTTTTGTGAAATTAATTAAAGTATGATAATTTGACTGCGGTTTTTGTGGGTAAGAGCAACAACAGCATAAAAAAATGAGCGCTAAACTACGACACACATACCCAAAGTGGCAACTGGAGAGACAACTTTAGACACACCATATGCTCCATATCCTCCATATCCACCGTAAACTGGGGCAGCAACACTGTGCACTGGTGAAACCACCTTTGATACACCATAACCTGAAATCACGGATTTTTACGAGCTTTTGAGTTTTTTTTTCCATTATTAAAAAAAAAATCACATAATTAAAAAGTATACGACCAGAATAGTATACGATTATCATATTACGATAATGAAAAATTCTTGACAAATTGATGAAACATAATGAGTTTGTCTATTTTTATTACAAGAACTTTTAATGACTTTTTTGTAGGACTGAAATGTGAAACATATTCAACTTCGGGAATAGTTTAAACCTACCCAAACCATGTCCATAAGCACCATAACCACCGTAGACTGCTGGGGTGGCATGAGCACCATAAACCGCTGGAGCAACTACTTTGTTATAACCTGCGGAAAGAAGTTTAATTTAAGCTGATCAACAACATTGGAGAAAATGATTTGCTAGTTTTTGGTACGTACCATAAGCTGGAGCAGCGATTCCATGGCTATAGCCTAGTCAGAATAAAAACAAAAAGTTGGATTAACTATCGAAAATGATAAAATGTTTGTGATTGACTTAGCGAACAAATACAATACGTTGATACGGTCAATGAGATACTCTTTAAAACGATGTTCAAATAGCTAACAGGCTAAATTCGATTCCTCTCACCAAAGAAGCATAACAAGAGGGAATTTTAAATCGTATCCTACCTAAGGCGGGTGTGGCATATCCGTGGCTGACCACAGTCGAAACGGGTGAGACTACTTTCGAAACACCGTATCCACCATATCCAGCATATCCTATAATTCGAATGTAAACATTGTTGAAAAATTAAAAATTCCCGTGGAAAATGCTTCGAGGTACATCACGAAGGACGGTAGTCCGACAAGTGACGCACCATAGACTGTGCATTTCAAGCCAAATATCAAAAAATGCCAGTTTTTGCGTCACGAGTATATATACAGTAAATATGCTATTTTCTCAGGACACTATTTGGGCCCCGGCATGTTAGGTGCCGTTGGAAAGGTCTTGGCCCAAATAGTCGGAAACACCATATCCCCCATGCCTAAAGTGTGGTCTAGGCAAAAATATAGCGGTTGGAAAATTTCGATAAATTTTCAAATCTATACCCATATGTTACAAAGGGGGTATCCAGGGGTACCCAGGGGGTGCCCAGGAGGTGTCCAAGAGAAGCTCCTCCTCGCCACCTTTCCAACGCCGGTCTAAGTGCCCCGATTGGTCCAAAAACGAAAAAGTTATGGGCATTGGCAGTTTGATCTCGATTTTTTATGAAAGTACTAGCCGAATCGGCTCGCTTCGCTCGCCGTTTTGGCTAGAATTTGTTCCCAAACAATGATTCTTTTGTTTTGATCCAACCTTTTCTTTATTTTTTCTTATTGTGATTTGAATATTATTAGTGCGATTAATTAACATTTTCGTTATCACTATCCGAGATGGTGACCATGTTCATCTCCGTTCCAAACCATTTCATTTGATACCAATATCGATTATCCACATTAATGTACATTGTATGGAAAAACAATGAAATTTTTTTTTTCGTCAAACTCCGGAAAATTTCATTCGAAAATCAAAACGGCATTTATAAGAACCATCTGGAGGCCGCGCGAAATCAAACGGCCCGCATAACATTAGAACCATGAATCAAAAAAAGGAGAGATAACTGGCTACATACACACACACACACACACACACACACACACAGAGACAAACATTCAGTTTTATATATATAGATTGATTTGTGCGTCCGTTCGTCCGTGTGTCCGGAAACTTTTTTGACCCCCACAGATTCCGGTGCCGATATGCCTAAGCTGTAGCTGGTGTCGGGCCACATCGAAACCCGTCCTCAGATTGACATTTGCATTACAGGAGAGCTGGCTATGGCTTCACTAGTCTGCATGTATACGATTTTTTCAAGTATTTATTTCGCACACTAGATCAACTCAGACACCCATCGGGCACAGTCAGCTCGTAATTATTTGAGAAGACCTTCAAAAAGTTCCATACACACATGCCAATGTTTATGTGATATAAAAGAAAAAAGTCGATTTTTATGAAAAATCGACCCCCTTAAATTTCACACCAAACGTGATTTCTCAAAAATCAGCCCTACAATGTTTTACCAAAAACTGAGCGTTTGTAGCCGGCCACCATACCAACAAAATGGCATATGCCACATATCCGGGAAAATTCGTATTTCGAAGTTCTGGGCATAGGCAATTCATCAATGAACGGAATTTGTACGAAGAGTCACATTCTACGATGAAATTGCTGTCAAAAATACGCGTCTACTGGCTGAAAAAGGCTCAAAAAAGACCATATCCGCTCAATTTTCGACGAGCAATCGATTAAAAGTGGTCACAATGCGATCTGAGGGCATTTCATGGTCGAAAAATAGGTCGGATTGAAGTGAATTTTTCAACTTGCTCTATTTTCACTGAAAATGACATTTTTGTTCGGAAAACACGTAAAATACACCTCTGACGTCGTTTTGGTCTTAGAAAACTGCTATTTTTTCGCGAAAATAATGGGAGTCCACGAACACTTGAATATCCATTTCGTTGTCATTTTGGTCATAAATCGGTATTTTTACATCTGAATGTATGAAATTGAACTTTTGTTCGGGGGATACATAAAAAATGCACTTTCCAGAGCTTTGGTGGTTGGAAATTAATATGTTTCAATGAAGTAATGGGTCTGAAATTACTTCAAAACTCTTTTAATGGATATTTTGAAATTTAAACACATTTTACAATGTCCAATAAGGGGAAAATGGGACTTTTTTAATGAAAGTGGAAATTTTCTATTTACAAAACTTGTGAAATTGAACTAAATTCAAAAGTCGTGACGCGATATTGTTCTTTATTGTAAATAAATTTTCACAAAAGTGAATGTGAAAAACACTTTTGAACTTCGTACCCAGAGGTAATACAGCGTCAAAGCGTCACTCAAAATGATATCAGTCATTTTGAGTGGTAAATCCACGCACAGGAGCGTCACTCCATTTTAACCTCGTCTAGAGGTTTTTCATCTGATTTTTCTTACAATACAATGCGGAAAAAAGCAATTTCCGGACCATAAAATCGAATGAAAAAGTGATTTGAACTTACCCAAACCATGTCCATAAGCACCATAACCACCGTAGACTGCTGGGGAAGCATGGGCAACACCATATGTCGGTGAAACTACTTTGCTATAACCTGAAAAATAAAACAAACAAAATGTTTGAAAGTAGCTAAAACGTTATGGAATGTTGATGAACGATGTTTTTCTGAACACTTTATGGAAAGCGACAAAAAACAATCAACTTTTTGTGGGAAAAGCAAAATTATTCTTCTGGGTTAAAATTTCAAAGGAATTTCAGTAAATACTTGAGTAAATTTAGCGAGATTTATTTCTATTGATTCTCATTATAAATGTGTGAGTATTACCATAAGCTGGAGCAGCAATTCCATGGCTAACAACGGTGGAAACAGGTGCAACTGGTGCCACAACTTTTGATGCGTATCCTGCAACAAAAATGGGCAAAAATTAGCACAATTATTACAACATTTAGCGATGTTGTACAGGTAAGATAAATGTGACCTCACCCAAACCACCATAACCACCGTAGACTGCTGGAGCGGCATGAGCAAGTCCGTATGGCGAAACAACCTTCGACACACCATAACCTAAAGTATTATTTTATTAGCGATAAACTTTACTTCTTTCATAAGCTCGAAGCTTTGAACGGATCAAGTGTGACAAACCAGCGGCATAGGCAGGAGCAGCATAGGTAGGAGCAGCATAACCATGACTGACGACAGTTGAAACTGGTGAAACCACACGGTTGTAACCTACAAACGATATGAATGCAGTGAACCAAGAAGGAAGAGATAACAACAAGAAAAAGAAACAAATGGTCATGAGTGGATGTTATTGCTTTTGAAATTATTCTTTTGACATGATTCCGTTGCACATATCCATCATATTTTCCAAGTTTAAATGATAGCGTAACACAACAAACACGTACCATGTGCATAAGCGCCACCATAAACAGCAGGGGCTGCATAAGCTCCGACTGGTGAGACTACTTTTGATACGCCATAACCACCATAACCACCATAGCCACCAACGACAGCTGGTGCAGCATAACCAGCATGGTATCCACCTGCAATAGAAATATCAAAGCTTTTGAGGATATCTTAGTAAAACAAACTTCTTTGACGCAAGTGTTTCCGATGGAACTGTGTGGATTCGGTTGAATTGGAAAAATCAATTCAAGCCAATCTGATTTTTCAATTCTAATCAAAACTGGAATTGAACCACATTCTTCAATAATTGACATTTATTGATGGAAAATATGAACAATTTTGACTTTGACAAACCTGTCACATTGAAATATTTTCGCAGAAATAGTTCTCATTTTTCGTTCACACTCTCTCTATGCATTTTGATATTTATCATTTATTCACTTTAAACTTCGTATAGCGAAACTAATTCAAAAGACGCAAAACTAATGAGAGTGAAAAAAAATTACCGTGGAAATTATTCGGAACGGCAATGCCATACAATTTGATATACAAACAGGTTGAACATATGAATTATTATGATAATGAGAGTGGGTAACGCAAATTTAATCGACTTTATAATTTATGAGCAAATAAATTACGTAATAGAAACGCACATTGTATTCATATATGATACACGGCAAAAAACAACGAACAAAAATTGGCACAAAGATTCAAATGAGACTGTAATAGAGGTAAACTGAGACTGTAATAGAGGTTGCTTACCAAGAACGTCGTTACTTTGGCGTGAGTTTGATACACGTACTGAAGAGTGGGCAGAATCAACGGCTTTTGAGTATGATGAAACGACATTTTGTCCATAGAGTCCCTTTGAAGTGAAAAATCGATAAAATTACACACGCCACCGAAAAAAAAATATGTGCATATTTCACCCGAATAAAAAAGAAGGTTAACATACTTTTACGGTGTGTTCTTGTTGCGAACCCACATATGCATGGTCTCCACTTAGAGCAGCAATTGAATATGCCGCCGGTCCGCCAGCTTGTACATATGCAACAAATGCAGCCAAAAATACCAACTGGAAATTACAGCATCAACAAAAATAAAGAAAAATCGGATGAGATAAATATGAGTAGAATATTTTCTTTTTGCACAAAACATTAAACACTTGCACGTATACACACGACAACAAACAAAAATTCTTGCACAGCTGTACAAAGCAACCAATCAAATGTACATCCGATTTTATGAATAAAACACTCATATCATAATCCGATCAAACACATGTCTCGTCGCTTTGATATTCATATTCGATATAAAATTTTCAATTTTGATCGTGTTATATTCAAGTACATTCCATATTAAACTCTCAAAGTCACTTTGCATCGCACCGAATCGAAACAAGTCGCAACACATCACATATTAGCTCATTCAATTTCATGCAGAATGAAATAGTTTGACGCTGTTTCTCCATACTCTCTCTTTCTCTCGCTGTGTAGATGAGCCCAATTGTTGCGAATCACAACGTGATAAGTGGTAAATTGTGTTTCCGTTTATAACAGTTATTTACAATGCCATCGGTATGTGTACGCAGCTGTAGTAGTGGGTCGTTTAGATTGGAAAATGTGAGGAAATTACTTTGAAATGCGCTGTGACACAGAATACTTGAGTCTTTGAAAAGAAACGACTGAAGCCACGAAAAAATGTACGTTTGCATCCTTTCAACATCTTTTGTTCGCTTTACGTTTCTATTATGAATTCGCCGGCATTTAAAGTAAAGCCATAGCAATTCTTCCTGTCTTCGTTTTTCTCTTTCTTTTATCCAATTGCTTGGAAAGCGATGTCGCGAGCAAAAAAAAAGTATGCGGCAGTCAGATCAAGTCTTTAAGTTTGCAAGAATATAGTGAAACACTGAAAAACATGCTTCCGTTCACAAAGGATTTATACACGTCGATGTGATTGTCAGAGTTATTTCAACAAAAGCATTCCTCCACATTGTCGAAATTAAATTCTGAAAAACTTGTTTCGCCGAATCGAAAAAATACGAGAGACAAAAGTGAGCATCTCGAATAATTTCGATAAGAATGGTAATTTTTTTGTGTTTATTTTTCCGAAACTATATTAATCACAGACATATTTCATTCAGCGATGAAATTGGAGCAAGAAAAAAAAACACGTAAAATGCTAGAGCACTTATTTTCGGTAGATTTGATATTAACGCTCAATCCCTTCATACCTTAAAAGCCATCTTAATTTACAACAAATTCTAATTGCACAACTGAATGGTGTCGCCGAAGTTTGTTCGTGCTACAGTTCAAACACCAACTACAGAAATAATTGGCATCACTTGTCTTTTTATACTCTTTTCCAAGTGTAACTCAAACGAAGCAAAGGAAAAAAAAGCGATTATGATTCTGGAGGGCATGAAATGCACCTTTTTTTCATATTTGGTGTAATTCACAAAATCTCGAATAGGAGTGTTGCGTTGCATTGTGTGCATATTATAAATGCATTGGTGCACACTGCACACCGCACACACACGATTTGCGAACTGCACGCGTTACACGCCGTTCATGTATTTGTCTAACGTATCAATAATTGGCAATAACATTTACGGCCAATTGAAACAAGATCATAGAATTTGTTACAACGAGAAGTCAATGAATACTCTAGACATGGTGTACGCATGCAGCGGCAGCGACGCTCACGAATCGAGATTGAGTGTGCCTGTGCATACGAGCTATGCCTCATAATATGTTTATCTCAATCAAGAGTGTTTCATTTAATACATTTAATAGTTTCGCATAATGTTTAATGGATATTACGACTAGCCACGGTTGTGCGATGTGAATATCGGACCTTTTTTCATTCTCTCAATCCGTTACTATACTCGGTCCACTATCTTGATTTGTTGGCCATTTAAAACTTATATCACATCAATTTTTCTCAACTCATTTTCAAACGGTCTTGGTGTGTAGTTTTTTTTCTGCCTGTGCTTCATTGCTCAAAGTCAAACTTGTAAGCACCATGAATGTGCATTTCATTCAGTGCAATTATTATGTCTGTAACCTTTTCGATATGGTTGAAAACTCTTGATTTCGTAGTTTTTTTTTAAGAAAAAAAAAGCGGAGAATTTTTTTTCTGGTTTGAAAAGTTCAGCGTTACTTGTAGCTTTTTCTTGGAAGCAGTGGTTATAATTCTTTTGAGTTGAATTTCGGGCGAAACGTTTGAATTGCATTTCTGACAAATAGTCAACCTACATCCGAATCTTTGCAACAAAGTTTCGAGAGAGCAATTCAACTATACTTCAAACAGCGTCTGTAAATTTGAATAATATTCTTTTTTTCTTCTCATTATTCTATTCAGCTCTTTTTGAACTCCCCAACACGCAATGCAAGCGCGCGCGTGGTCACAGCCAAACGCATTTTAAATGTGTGCAACTTTAAATGTTCATCAATATTCAGTACATGTTTCCTTTAAATACGAATTTGATTTTGTTTTCTTGGAACATGAATAGTTCTCAATCAAATGTTGGATTGTTCGCAATGAATGAGAGTGTATTCGCATGCACAAAAGATCAACAGATTGATAGAGTGGGCGAGTAAAACAATCGGTAATTTGATCAATGAACCTTGAAGATTACGCAAATCTCAACAATTATATAAGAGCCATCAGTTTGGATTGAAGGCATCAATCAGAATGTATAATTGAATTTTCATTCGATGTACTGAAACAATACGAAATTTCTCCACGTAAAATCCAAAATTCCAATTATCATACTCTTCATTCACGGAATTCTTTTACGTAATTTCTTTGATAAGCAATCGTATGCAATTTGATACCATTTCGTCTGATGGATTTCTGTCTGAAACCTTTCAAAAAAGCGCATGGATGTAATTAGAAATCATTGAGATTTATATCGATTTATATGCGAAAAGCATTTAATTTTAAAACAAAATAATTCACTAAATGCAAACGGTCGTATGCGTTTGGCGTGTGTTTGGTACTTTGAAATCAGCGGCCACCATCAACAGCTCACAACGTTTCAAACCAACACGATTTCGAACTCAAAACTCTGACATATTTAATCCAGCCAAAAACTTGCAGTGCCACATTTTGCACATTGCTGGAATGTGCCGTATAGTCGATCATCAGTGTGCGTAATAGCGACGTGGTGTAAGGCCGTAAAAGCGACAGTTTTGAGTCAGCACAAGCTGATCGCCGGCACATGAAATCCGATCTAAATGCGTATTAACCCACACAGCCGTGCCGTACATCGCTCAAGCGAAATGTGTGTGTTTGCCTTTTTGGTTTGGCAAAATGCGAACACAAATCGGTGCAGGCCGTGTCGTTGTCATAAAATGAACTTATCATATATTTCTAAATTTAATTCGACATTACATAATACCAGGTTGATATTTCATTTTCACAGAGCGTTGTCCATGCCTCATTCATGACTTTTACGTACGTATTTATCGCCACTTGCGTCCAGTTGCCACAGTTTAACTCCTTCCATGGTATTATTACGGTTTCATGTCGTGTCGTTTCTTTATCTCACCGACACACAGTTCAAATGGTGGCGGTTGAACTGGCATTGCTGGCGGAATTGAACAATGTGGCACACCGATTTTCTTTCTCTTCTCTCGGTCCTTTGGATTGTGCACATCGTTCACACAACGCAATTGCCCAATCATTGCAGACACTGATTTACTTCTATTTCTCTTGCTCTATTTACGGCTATCCAACCTCACGAGCCATAAATTTTCATGCAAAATTGTAATAATTTCGGGTGTAAACTCGTGCATAAATACCATTTTCTGCCATCCATAATAAATGGCAATTTGAATTATTTGCACCAAATAAACGTACCATATATATATTCTCAAAAATGTTGGATTTTGGAATAGTTTATTAACTGAGGCATTTAATGAGTCTGACACAATTCTGGAATCAATTGCTTATGCTGAAATTGTGCGGTTGTTGTTTTTTTGTTCGTTTTTTCGAACGAAAGTCATTGCCTTGATATTTAAATAAATTTATCATCTTGAATGGAACAGGCGGTATATGCTTCATTTCTGCGGTGCTTTAATTTAAACCATCCATTATTTTAGACAATTTCATTTTCGCCGAACGCAAAATCAGAACAAATGTTTGCAAAACAAAATCGGAATGTATTTTTGTTCAATATCCAACAAATCGTAGAGCGGTTTTAGCTTTTCGAACCAATTCGTTAATAATTTTTCTTCTTCTCGTTTCCACTAGAATGCTAACATATTTAGACAATAACAATATGCATAATGCTCCTTGATGATGCGTCATATCTTTTTCGGATCTATGAGTACTGATGCAGAAAAAATGAAAGCGAAATAGTTCAAATGAAGTGAAGTCTTTTTACAGGCTCTGCTATTCGAATTCCATAGCAAAAAATGAAACAGAACTTGAACGAACAATTGTAAATAAATGTCTAAAGGAATAAATTTTTTTTTCCGAGCCTTCGAGAATGAAATTGATTTAAAAAGAATTTGTTAATGATAACGCTTTAAACGTGTGCTAATATGTATTTAATATACATTTTTTAAATGTTTAAATGAAGCGAAGTCTGTTTTTGAATTTCTGAATTCTGTTACTAATTGCATTCGAAAACAAGACCGCAGATCGTCGCTTCGCTTCGCTCTGCGTTCTTGAAGCTTGCAAATTTAAGGGGTTTAATTAATTTGATGTTTCTCATCAAATTATTATCGTAAGCACTACATGGAATGTGATTTTAATCGTAGTATACTTTTTGTATGCAAATCATTTTAATATTGTCAAAAATAACTAAATAAATTCATCATGTACATTCAATGTGAATGGTCATCGTACATTATTTCACATTGGCAACGAAAAAAGTTTTGTTTTGAGTTATCTCAAAATTGAATTACAAGAACATGATATTATTTCATTTTTGCAATTAGGCGTAATTGCTTCATTTGAAATAAAAAATACGGATATTAAAATGATTTAGTTTACGGTCCAAAAAAATGGCCTAAAGACTCTTAAAATTTTCTTGGGAAAAAAAATCAACTACAGGGCTGGAATTCTAAGTCATTCCACCAAAATCATTCGGAATTATTTTTTTTCGTACATAAGACCATATTGGAGTGAAAGAGAGAGATTCCACTATTTTTCAGCGTTCCACCGGAATTATTTCTCACACATTCCACTCTTCCTTGAGTTATCGGAATAATTCCGGTGGAATGCTGAAAAATAGTGGAATCTCTCTCTTTCACTCCAATATGGCTTATGTACGAAAAAAAATAATTCCGAACGATTTTGGTGGAATGACTTAGAATTCCACCCCAGTAGCCTACATTCCATGTAGTGCTAAAAATGGCTTTCATCATTTAAAATGATTCATTTTGAATCGTTGCATTCCCTCAATTCATGATTATTTGGAAGTGAACTTATTAAGTGGGAGTGGCTTATTGATGAACCACTTTGTTTTCCAGTATTCTACGATATTCCGGAAAAATTATTACAAATTATTCTAAAAAGATCAATTTCATACTCAAACATTGGACATTCACTAGATTTTCGCGATTTTCATTGAGCATTTTTACTTTTCTGCGAAAATCCCACTAACCGTTCGGAATAAGTCCAAACAAGCTTTTTGGAATCGTGTCTTAGAATCCAAAAAAAAACTGGTTTAACTTTATATTTTGGTCGAACACAACGTAAGAATACGTATCATTGGTGCCCTCTGCGCTAAGAGGCGTCGATGTGATAAGAAAATGCGCTGGCAAAGAAAAAAGATAAGAAACCATCTGGGAAGGTGAATTCATTCACCTCTAATCAAATGTAACATTTTCATCTCCTTTCGCAAAGTACAATAATTCTATTAACCGTAAATGGATTAAATTAACGCACCTTACTTCAAGAAATTGCATAAAATGGACGAAAAATGAAACCGAAAAAGAGTGAGTAGCTGAAAATCTGGTTATAATGTGTAGCAAACTGGTTTCAATCTCTATGGTGTATGATCAAATTTATTGATTGTTTCAACGGTTTTCTTCTTTTTCACATCACGTCGTACACTTTTTTTTGCTCTTTTTTCACTTTTTCTCCGTATGTCGGTCGTTCGCATTATGTTCATTTTTTGTCAAGTGTGCTAATCTCATCGAAAAATTATGAATAAATTATATGTCTTGACTTTTTTTCGCTCTTGATTCAACACTTTTCTCTCAGTCTCAATTCACATCGTTTTTTTCTCAGTTGTTGATTTAATGCAGCAAATGTTATTAAATAATAAGTGGTAAGACTGGCAAATGTTGAACGATGTGTTGCGAAAATGGCAAAAGAGCATAAACACACACA